ATCTTGTCTGTAGAGAAATTCGAGCTGTAGATTGCACTTGTTACCATCTCCTTCTTTTTTGATCGTAAGCATTTCTTAATGTCTGTTTTTTGTTCTTTGTCCATTTTGGTTTTTGCCACTCTCATTAATCTAGTTGCGACATCGTTAGGACTTACTTTGTCAGATAGGCTTGTCTTCGAGGTCTTCGCACCTAGTCTCTTTACTAAGTGCCATGTTGTCTTACTGGAGTGTGTGAAGTTTAAGCTAGCAGAAGTTTCTTGCCACTTCTTGCGTCTATTTATGTTTAATGTTCTTATTAGCTCGTCTGCAATACTTTGCTCATTTGATATCTGGAATTCTCCAAATAGGTCGCTACAATCTTTGTCCCAAGTTGCGATATATGATTTTCTAAAACCCCGAGGAATATGTTTCTTTGCTACTGACTTAATAGTCTTAACGAAGCGCTCATAGTTGATGGAAACTGGAGGAATATATTGCACTATGTGGTCTAATTCTTTAGCAAATGCGTCCCAATCAGCCTTTTGGAAATTCCACCTTGGTTTCGGGATGGAGTGCACTGTTGGGATTTGGAGACCATATTCCAAGAGCACTGAGCGGTGTTGGCTATGTGGGAAGTCATTCAGTACTTTTCGGGTGCACATAGTGTTGTCATTTAGAGATAATCTCAAGATAATTCTCAAGTCCGGTGAATAGTCCTTGCCCCATTTGGCTGAGTGGAAAGTCCCCTTATCCTTAGCGCTATACATTAACTCCATGTCATTTGTGGAAAGCCAGTCAAATAGTATTACTCCGTTGTCATCGTCATCATCGTAGCCCCAATGTAAGCTATGGCTATAAAAGTCACCAATATACATTGATGGATGATCTAGAACGCGCAATGGTGGGTTATTCCATAATGTACTTTGTGGTTTGTACACATTTACTATATATACTCCACTCACATTTACTGTCAAGATAAATACCTCTTCCACTATCTCTTGTACTATTGTTCTTGCATGGCTGATGCGTGAGTTATGGTAGGTTGCAACACCGTACTGTTTATGGTGTATGGCTCCAATAAAATTGTAACAAGCTATTTGTCCTCTTTTNTCTAGAACGCGCAATGGTGGGTTATTCCATAATGTATTGGGTGGCTTGTACACATTTACTATATTTACTCCACTCACATTTACTGTCAAGATAAATACCTCTTCCACTATCTCTTGTACTATTGTTCTCGCATGGCTGATGCGTGAGTTAAGGTAGGTTGCAACTCCGTACTGTTTATGGTGTATGGCTCCAATCAAATTGTAACCAGCTATTTGTCCTCTTTTGTGGAGGTCGGCTTCATCTAACGTATGCGTTTCCTGGAGTGCAATAACATCAACTTTTTCCTCTCTCATAAGTTTAGATAGAATTTCACTCTTAGCTGACGAAATACCTTCAATATTTAAGTGACATACCCTAAGGCACGGTCCTAATATCTGCGTTGAATGGCTCTGAAAANCAATAAAATTGTAGCCTGCTATTTGTCCTCTTTTGTGGAGGTCGGCTTCAGCTAATGTATGCGTTTCCTGGAGGGCAATTACATCAACTTTTTCCTCTCTCATAAGTTGAGATAGTATTTCAATCTTAGCTGACGAAATACCTTCAATATTTAGGTGACATACCCTAAGGCATGGTCCTAATATCTGCGTTGAACGGCTCTGAAAAGGGCCGTTTAAAGGTTGCATATTACTGTGTCTGTTGCTGGGTATCAGCGCCTTGGTGGTAGCATTAGATACGCTCATATCTAATACTACCACGTGCAGGCTACCACCATCCTTCCCGTGATTAATAATGCACTCAATCCAATCCTAAGAGTTATGACGCATACCTCGTTGGTGCCGGGAGTAAAATAACGGAAAATCGTAAACTTTGTTAAAAGTTTGTTTTGCTTTACGTCTGACTTCGCCAATTAAAACTGTAAAACTCGTTTAAGTTATGACTTTTTCAACCACCTTTGAAGTTGAATTTTATTTGTAATGAAATTCTTTACAACTTATAAGCAAAAACGTCAAAACTGATTGACACTTCACTGATATAAGTAGTTGATTTATGATTAATAATTAGTAAATTTTAATATAAAATCGGTTAACAGTAAATAAACCAATGTATAAATCAAAAGTGATGGTGGTTTATTAACCCCAACTATAAAAGCAAGAAATATGACAGTGATCAATTTCTGGAGTACTCGCTTCTTTATCTGTAAAATATTACATTTTGAAATGAAACACAAACGTACATATTTCTGAAATAATTATGAGCATGTCTTATGCTGGATTGATCACTATTGCTAACATTTGAAACATAGAATTGCTATAACTGCATAATACATTTGAAAAATGTTATAAAAGGAAAAAAGTTTATAGGATCGAAAAAAAGTTATCAGCACCCCCAAATGAAAAACACTTTTGGACCTATGATTAAAAATGTAATGCGCAACGTTTGATCAATGTGTCTTGACGAACAATAATTATTGGGCATTACTAGTCAAACAATATTATTTTAAAATGTACTTAGTCGTATTTGTATTTGAATTTAAGTTAATTCCATGGAAATACTTTTCTTACCTCGAGAATTGTAAATCCCGTGTTGTTATTTAAATTATTAATGTAATACGATAGTTCGTAATCTTCGCTTTGATCGATTCTAAATGTGAAAACTTTTGAAAAACATCATTTTCGTTTGAACATAATATACTTTTATAATAAACTTTTGAACGGAAATATTGACTGGCATAATTTCCAAAGTCGTTATTTTTTTTCATACTCCTAATCATAATTCTAGGGAATGATATACTTTTTTTTTGAACACGGAGATTTTCGTTATACAATGTCCCTTAATAGAATCATGAAAACCAATAATGATTTGAAAAATAAAATGTATTTATGATACCAGTCTTTGAATCATTTAAAACATATTAAAAATTCTTAACTGTCAATTATAATAATTAGTTTAATTTATAGTATATAGTATTTCATCATTACTACTTAATTATTAATGAGAGATTAAATATTAAAATATTACGTAATTAGACCTGATCAATTTAAAACTGAATCAATAATAAAGGTTTAATATATATAACTTGAATTTTTGGATTAGAATCTTGTGATATCTCGTTCTAAACTAAGGTGAATAAAGACAGGCAAATGCAAACTGGCAGTGTGGTGACGAATGAGACAAAATATAATCTATCATGTGAAGCTTACACAAGTACAACAGACATTTTTATAGTAAAATTCTATAAATCATGCTGCTTAGGGGAACACACAATTTTGGGAACGATAATGACATTGTAAATTTATAACTAATATTTAATGAATAGTTATTAAATTCATTTATGAATGGTTGAACAAAAAATTATTCAATCAATAATTAGTCATTGGTCCAAAAAAATTGGTTTATTGAATCAATAAAAATTTAATGATGTTGCACAAAGCTTCAATGCCTTAATAGGTCGATAAAAAAACGGTCAAAAATGACTATTGGTTAAATAATTTGTAGGCTTGAAATCTGCCTTATAAGTTATATTGATTCTATAATATGATTTTTTTTATTGTAAAAACTTGATAAAAATAATAAACTTTTTGTTTTATTTGATCAAGTACATACATTTTTTTATTATAATTTAATAATAATGGACGTCATTGAGTTTTATTCGTCTGAAGACGAGTTCATATTCGACGTATATGACATTTTACAAAAACAGAGAAGATATAATCTATCGACTACGATATTTAGTAATTATATTACACAGTTCAGTCATTGTGTCACATATAATAATTGTATAATAAATATATGAATAAATCGACAACTTGCTAACAAATTAGTTTCATTTATCTATAATTTGTTATCAACTATTGAACCACGGCCTTAGATTATTCATCTTTTTGGCTTTGTAGTTGCATGTATATTTTATACAATTGTTTTGTGGAAAGCTTTTTAATATTTATCTATCATAAATATATTTTATGAAACCAATAAAACTTATAGTGCCAATAAATTTTTCATCGAAGAAATGATATTATTAAATACATATTTTGAGAACTTGTTGATATACCATCTTAAATTAAATATTAATAGATTCTTAATAATTAGTTAGGTAGTTATTGGATATGGCGTTAGGTTAGAATAAACAGGGTATCGTGTTCAATCAATACCCTACTGTAGCAAGTTACAAAATTCCGTTTGTTTGCATTTTTTTTATTAAAAAAATAATTATCGAAAAATATTATTTTTTAAATATAAATAAACAAAAATCCCGTAGACATCCATATTTAATAAATATTTTCTAAATATTATTGAAATGAAAAATATAAAAAATTAAAACAGTTTATAAATTATATCAATAAAAATATAATATTTTATTTATCTCTGTGCTAAATATTTTTGCTATATGATATGTGTGTGTTTTTCATGAACTACAAGTGTTCCGATTTTGTAAAAAGANCAAAATTCCGTTTGTTTGCATTTTTTTTATTAAAAAAATAATTATTGAAAAATATCATTTTTAAATATAAATAAACGAAAATAGCGTAGACATCCATATTTAATAAATATTTTCTAAATATAATTTAAATGAAAAATATAAAAAATTAAAACAGTTTATAAATAATTTCAATAAAAATATAATATTTTATTTATCTTTGTGAAAAATTTTTTTGCTATATGATATGTGTGTTTTTCATGAACTACAAGTGTTTCGATTTTGTAAAAAGAAATACGCAATGTTTATTTTTGAAAATTGTATTTTGTGTATTTGGTCTAATATTGATATAAAAGTTACGTAAGTTTTATGCCTATAAACATTTCAATCATTATACTCTAAAATCTGGTTGTTCTAAGCATAACACCTATAGAATGTAAATTATAATTATAGAATAAAAAGGAATTATTTGTAAGCGTACGGTGTATAAGTTTCGCGGCGTGTTATTAGTGAACCACTACTCCCTCCAACCAAAATTCCTTTAAATGCCTAAATCTAACTTTAGTTCAATCAAAAATTATGCACTGGTGTATCAAGTGTATTACGTATCTCAAAAGATTATGTAGTTAGTTGGGTATTTAGGGAGATGATGTTTTGATTTCCAGGGGGCTTACATAATAATTAGGAAAAACCGGAAAAGAAATTTTCGAAAAAACTGCGAAATTGCCTAAGCATTAACCATTTCAATGTTTTTAATTTTTACATTTATGTTTTCCACAGAAAATATTGTTAAAATCAAAAAACGACAAGTAACCTTGTTTAATTTTGACTATAATCTCTAACAAGAAGTCGATTATTGATGTTCTAAGTAGTTTTTATAACAAATGTGAAACAAAAAATGAGTTATATGTAGCATTGTTTTAATATAATGTTGATTATTATTTCTTGTTCAAAATTACGGCTTTTCATAACATTTATAATCGACCTTCACTCTGAATCGTCTTTCGTAAGCATTGTTCTATCATAACTTACAATTTAAAATTAAAAAACTTTTGTATCCATTCCCTTCCTAAATTTTCTTCTGTATATAAAAGTAGCACATCCATCAATATCATTGGTTTTTTTTTATAATCGTTTTTGTTTACATAAATCATCTATTATATTAAAGTATTGGTATTTTAATATGCAATCAAATATATACGGGGTGTCTTGTATGGTTTTATGAACGTGAATAATTCTGTCAGTATTTAATTTTTTTATTAACATATTTTATTCAATTGGCGAACGAATTGCCATTAAATGTAGTAACTCCATTAGTATTAAATGTTATAATAGTTTTTTCTGTCGAGAGGACTTTTAATACCATTTCGTTAAACAGAATTAGAACGTATCCTTCTTCTTTATGTTTTTGTCTGATGTAAACATTTTTTAATGAGCCTTTTAAGATGCATGCAATTTGGTCTCACCTTTTTCGGCAAATTCTCCAACGTTTGGGTATTTTCCTTTATTATTAACAGTAAAAGCAGCAATTCGGTAAAAACCATCTGTATCCAAAATTAACCATTTCTTACTCGTGTTCTTTCTCTGACAGACGCTAATGGTCTTCATTAATGGAAATTGTCTTTGACAAATTATCTATTTTTCTTTTTTTCGTATTCGAATTGCCCCAATATACGTACTGCAAGAAATAATTAAACACGAAGTAACAGCAATTCTGTGTTATGCCATACTCTCTCGCTGGATTAGAAGAAAATATCTCCTTTAGACTTGCATTTGGACAGTTGATAAAGTCAATAATATGGTTTCCGATCAGTTTGTTGACTCCAGGACTGGTAATTTGGCACACAAATTTGTTATACGTTTTAACAATGGCATTCGAATTTAGCCATGTCAAAGAGTCTATAAAAACTGTCTTGTTATTGTCTACAATTATATTGCTGCCATCGTCGTACTCTCCTCGGGTAAAAAAATTGTGATTGTTTGTTAGAAAACGAGTCATTTCCGTTTTGTTATATACACCTACAAAATCCTGCGTAATGTCGAAATCCATAAGATAGTAATTGTCGATTCTTAGCTGTGCTAATGTTTCTGGAAGTTCTGGAATGTACAATATGTAATGTTAAGTTAGTTTAGTATATGTTTAGTAGGTTAAGTTATGCATAGGTATGATCGGAAAAAAAAAATCCGTCTGTCCAGATGCAAGTCTAAAGGAGACATTTTCTTGTAATCCAGCGAGATAATATATAACTATACTATTTGAGATTATTATAAGGCAAGGGACGTATTTAAACCACTGAAAGATTGTTTTAGTCGATTGGAAAATAGTGAAATGTTTTTCCAAATGCACCGTTTTATTCAGTGTTTATTGCTAAAATGTGGCTAAAATTGATAGACAGTTTACAGAATAGCTGTTGCATCTTTTTTAATAATTTCTTTAAATATACAACTCATTATGGAAGTGTCGAAAAATTATTTTATTAACATTTTCAATGATGTTAATTTTTCCATTGGTTTAAAAATGTAATAAAATTGTTAAATTATGTAAGCAATGTTCTAAAAGATACTCAAAGCATTTCAATAGACTTTTGTACCGTATGTGTAGTCAGACCCGGATAATAAGCTGTGGAGGNACAATGTAACCAACATTATATACTCAAGCGGAAACAAAGTACCGCTTTTATAATCAACTCTAAAATTGTAACATACTAAAATTTTTGATTTTTATTTAAAAATAACAAATAATATAAAGTGTCATAATTCCCTACATAATAAAGAAGGGAAAAACGAGTGATTTTCTAGTGAATTAGCATGTAGTGTGTGTTATATCAATATGAATACGCGTTTATCGTATTTCGATGCAATCAAGACAACAGTGTGTAGGTTAAACATTTTGACAGAATACTATATTGAATAAATTAAACCTGTGAATATTAGAGCTTCGTCACTAAAATACAGTTATTTTAATGCAAATGTTCATTATTTTTCTTTAAATAGACTTGGAATAGGAAAGATCATCTATTTCGGAAAATCGTCGCAGTCCAACAGTATATTTTCTAAGGAAAATATAAGTAGCAGTAACAGGAAATCAGATTGTTCCAATCATTAGAATCTTGACGAAAACGAACTTCGAAATACTCACCAAATTTTATATGTTTTTCGAGGGAGAGATTTTGGAGAAGTTTATCCATTATACTAAAGAAATTATTGAATTCACGGTCCCGGGGATAGAGGTAACATAATAGAATAGTATTTATAATTCTACAGTAAATTTAATCGCCATATTATATTACGTAAACATCAAAATTACAATATAGAAAATTATACGATTTTATCTTATGTCTACAATAATAATTACAAGTTATAACTCAATAATAAAACAACGAATAATTGAACTTGAAATTAACATGTTCAAAATAATTATAGTATTATTCTCTGGAGAATGAATTTTGTGAAATAATGCACGAGTATGTCTTTAAGTCCGTCAATTTTAGTAGTCCTGAAACAAATATCATATTCGAAAAAGAAAAAAAACAAATAAATAAATCTTACTTTTAAACAGTAACTTCCGCATAAGTAATAATAATATACTTTATCATTTATTATTGCGGATCGACTTTTTATTTTCTATATCCTGTATACGTTTTTCTATAATTTTTTGCGTGTAGAAAAGAGGGCAGAACGAAGTATCATTGGTCTTGATGGTCAACAGCTGGTTATCACATACAACGATAGACCCTGGTTTCAATAACTAAATAATAACAATATCATTATATTAGTTCATATCAAAACAAATATAGAATTGAATTATAGGTACACTAATTGTAATATACATATCAATATAATTGATGCCAGCAAACAATTAGCTTATTAATTTATTATCAATATTGACATTAAATTTTATTCCGCATAATTCATTAAAGAAATTAAAAACACATTATATTAAGTTGGACACATAACCTTATAAGAATAAAAAATTTAAACTATAATACATTTAACGTTTTATAATATAATAATATATTTCGTTTAAAAAATTAAAAAATTTCAGGATTATAATATGTTATTACATTACAGAAAGAGCTCTGTTTCCCGGTTACCTCGCTCGCACGGCCCATTTAATTCATGGTACGACTATGCTCATTTAATGTAGGGAAGAGATAAATATCGAAAAGTTTTTTTTTCTGATTAATTTAAAAAACAGATATTGTATTTCAGAGTGGTGCACGGTATAGTAATTACAAGATGGTGCTTTAAGAAACATCCTGTAAAAGGATAACCATTTATAAAAATGACATAGTTAAGAATATTACCTCGAAGTCCAGTTTAAATTCCTGTCCTGTAAGTTTATATAACAAACCACGCACTACGCCATCCTGAAAAACACATCAATGTACATAACATAATTATGATTGATAGGGATCACATTAAAACAATTTTTTTTTTTCATTTAAGAAAAAAAAAATCTTAAGTCATTGTACTCTATTCTACATCATGTTTTACTCACCGAACAACGGGTCACAACGAAACAGTTGACGTTCTCCACAATATCATTCTCTGGTAATTTCAGAACTACCGCGGAAATTTTTCTGGTTTCGGGCGTCGTAATCAGCTATTACATAGTTAAATCTTATTAAATCATATTAAATCAAATTAAAGGTTAAGCTTCATAGATGTATTTCGAAATTATCAACGGGTATGAAATTATTTATATGTAAAAAATATCTGACTTCAATATGCCCAGGGCACATGCTGTACTTTGTTTTTAATGTTAATATTACGAATACATTAGGGTTTTTTTAATTATTAATAACACAATAACGATTTTTATTTACTTTTGATAATGTACGTTAAGTAAAATATATTGGCATTTTCCTATTCCGATTATATTCTTGTAGTTTTTAATTGGGCAATCGAATTTGTCTGATGTTCTTAATTTATTTATAGGTTAGCCACCTGGTTCGAAATAAAAATTGATTATTTATAAAATGTATGCAAGTTCCGGACATCAATAAAAAATGTGCAGGTATAAAAAATTTTAGGTGTAACGGTGTAACTAACAGTTTTATTAAAAAAAATAACGTAAACGGATAAGTTTTTATACAAAATAAATAAAATAGGAAATTCGACCGATCTATGAAACTGAATCCGTGACTGCCGCTAATTGGAGTTTTTTTTTTTTTTTTTTTTAAATAAAGATTTAAATATTAAAATCAAAGGAAATTGTAAAATCTTCATTTTATTTGTTCTTTATTTTTATTTTTATTTTTACAGCAAATGATACGAAAATAATCACCAAACTTTATTCTGAACATATAATTAAAATGTGTACCATGAAATGCTTCTTCAAACTAAGAGAACTATGATGGACCTTGGTATTTTTTGTTTTTCGTAAATTTTATATTAAATGTAATGTCAACAACATTCCTAATAGATCAAACAACTTCCTTGGTTATATGCATCGAAATTGTGCTGGTTTTAATGATTCCTTAAACTAATACTTCAATACTGAATTACACTGAAGTAACTATTTATGCAAGCAATAATGTAAAGCCGAGATGCTCCTACTAATGGGCGGTTAGCATCAATAACAAAATTTTTGGAGAAGAAACAAATATATTAGGATGTTTAGGGATTATGGGCTAGACGACCACACTTAAAAATGCCGTTAAACAAGTGATTTAACGTGGACGTGCGGCAAGGCCCGCACGTTATTATATTTAAATATACAAAATTGAAATAAGCTGGTTCAGAATTGACCAAAGTTAGATTTGCTCACAATACATATATACAAATAAAAATAGAAACAAANATAATGTAAAGCCGAGATGCTCCTACTAATGGGCGGTTAGCATCAATAACAAAATTTTTGGAGAAGAAACAAATATATTAGGATGTTTAGGGATTATGGGCTAGACGACCACACTTAAAAATGCCGTTAAACAAGTGATTTAACGTGGACGTGCGGCAAGGCCCGCACGTTATTATATTTAAATATACAAAATTGAAATAAGCTGGTTTAGAATTGACCAAAGTTAGATTTGCGCGCAATACATATACATACATACAAATGAAAATATTAACAAAAGGAATATAATAACAGTGTAATCGGAAACTTGATCACGCGGGTATACATTACAAATGTTTTGCCAACCTATAAATTGATGTATAATATCGTGTATAGCGGATACGAATCGGACGCAAGCGGATGATACTGCGCAAACGCGTGACGAAACGAAACGTAGCGTTTATAAACGAACTTGATTAAGCTCCCGTTAACTGGAGCTTGGACGACGAAGCCGCAACACGTGCACGGCAGAAAAAGCGGCTCGTTGGCCTAAACACGAGTGGTGTCGACGTGAAACACGACGATTATATGAGATGCGGTTGTTCGCGCTGAAACTTCTATCGACAAACGACCCGACAACTTCAATGGACAACAACGGAAACTAAAACGCGACTTTGGCACCGAACACAAAATTGGATGCAGGCGACAGGCCACGGGTGTACGGCGAAGGTCGCACACACACGAAGGTGCGGTACCGGTTTGCGCGATGATAAAGCTAAGGGCGGGGCAGGGGTGCGGGACGGCCGGTCTAAAAACGCTAGTGCGTACCAGTGATAACGGTGTGTGAATAAAATATCTCCCCTTTACCAATAGAATTATGGAAACAACGTAAAAATTAAAATCGACTTGTTCAAATCACCAAACTTTAACTCTTTCGAAATGTATAGTTTTTTCAAACGAGTTAATATAAAGGTATTATATTAGTATTATATTGATTGTTTATTGTCTGTTTTTTTTGCTATTTTTTTTATCAATATCATTGTTATCGAACGATTGTTATTAACAACCCGACACAAAGAGCGGCTTGTTGGCGTAAACACGAGTGGTGTCTACGTGAAACACGGCGATTATATGAGTTGCGGGCGTTCGCGCTGAAACCTATATCGAAAAACGACCCGACAACATCAATGGACAACAATTGGGCATGAAATAAATGGCTCATTTAAACATAAACTAATTAAATAAATATGTACTCCTTAATACTTGCTTTAAATAACAGTAAATCATCAACACCTTCTGGACCTTGTTCCCACATAATCATACCAACGTCTATACGGTTTCTAAATACCACATTAGAATATAATATTCCTTCGGAATTCGTATGATTAATTGCATCCAAAAATACTTGCATGGGTGTTTTGGATTCAATATCAAAGTGCCTAAGACAAAATTAAAATGCATTTAGATAAGTACGAAAATTAATATGAAAGCCAATTTAATTTAATATGAAAATATTAATACCGTTAATCCCTTTAATGTAAATTATTTGTCAAAGATATGTTTCTTAAAGATAGCATACGCATTATGTATTTTTACTTCGCTCACTTACTGTAGGTTACACATTCTTGTGAAAACGCCAGAAGGTAAAATATAAAAAATGTATACTATTGGGTGATTATGTCCCGATTATGGGAAATTGGTTGTTTCAGGATTAATGAGATGAATTAAACAACTTTTCGTATATGATATTGTCAGACTGAATTTCTGCATCTTTTAAAGTAAGTTCTCATGTATACTGCGTAAAAAATTGTGGCATTTTTACTGACCGCAAGTATGAAGACAATAATACAACTTTTTTATAAAGCAATATTATCTAATTATCATCGACATGTAAATATTATCGTACAGAATAAAATACAATAATCTGCATTATAGTACTATTATTTTAAATAAAATATTTACTTTTTGATACAAGTCCTAGAAGTTAATATCCAGTTTGATTTGATTAACACACCTTGGCACCATTTGCCTTGTTCATCAATTGACACCGCTATTACCACCTGTCAAAAAATGTATATGTAACACATTCACATTGTTATTATTATCATACTGATGATTGAATGAACTTACGTGGTAAGGAAATGAGTGTGTATCAGATGCACGTTTTATAAATTCTTCTTCGGTAGTTATTGAGATTACATTCTCCCNACACAAAAATGGATGCAGGCGACAGGCCACGGGTGTACGGCGAAGGTCGCACACACACGAAGGTGCGGTACCGGTTTGCGCGATGATAAAGCTATGGGCGGGGCAGGGGTGCGGGACGGCCGGTCCAAAAACGCAAGTGGGTACCAGTGATAACGGTGCGTGAATAAATAATCTCCCATTTACCAATAGAATTATGGAAACAACGTAAAAATTAAAATCGACGTGTTCATATCACAAAACTTTAACTCTTTCGAAATGTATAGTTTTTTCAAACGAGTTAATATAAAGGTATAAGTATTATATTAAATGTTTATTGTCTGTTTTTTTGCTATTTTTTTTTATCATTATCATTGTTATCGAACGATTGTTATAAAATACATGTAATTGGGCATGAAATAAATGGCCCATTTAAACGTAAACAAATTAAATAAATATGTACTCCTTAATACTTGCTTTCGATAACTGTAAATCATTAAGACCATCTGGACCAGGTTCCGACACAATCATACCAACGTTTATACGGTATCTAAATGTCACATGAGAATAAAATATTCCTTTGGAATTCGTATGATGATTTGCATCCAAATATACATTCACGAATTCCTTGGATCTAATACTAAAGTGCCTAAGACAAAATTAAAATGCATTTAAATAAGTACGAAATTTAATATAAAAGCCAATTCAAAATAATATGAAAATGTTAATACTGTAAATCCCTTTAATGTAAATTATTTGTAAAAAATATGATTCATAAAGCTGGCATCCTCATTATGTATTTTTGCTTCACTGCATGTGTAGTCTACATATTCTTGTGAAAACGCCAGAAGGTAAAATATAAAAATTGTAATATTATTTTTAGTAAACACCAACTATATTTATTGTTTTAAGTATATCGATAAATTTTCACAGTCCCAATTATGAGGATTTGGTTGTTTCAGGTTTAATGAGATGAATTAAACAACATTTCGAATATGATATTGTCAGACAGAATTCTACATCTTTTAATGTAAGTTCTCATGTATACTCCGTAAAAAATGGGGCATTTTTACTAATCACAAAGATGAAGACAATAATACAAATTTTTCATAAAGCAATAATATCTACTTATCAGCGAAATGTAAATATTATTGAACAGAATAAAATACAATAATCTGCATTGTAGTACTATTATTTTAAATAAAATATTTACTTTTTGATGCAAGTCCTAGAAGTTAATATCCAGTTTGATTTGATTAACACACCTTGGCACCACAAGTCTTGTTCATCAATTGACTTTGCTATTAGGACCTGTCAAAAAATGTATTTGTAACTCATTCATATTATTATTATTCTGATACTTATGAGAGAATGAACTTACGTGGTAAGGAAAATAGTGTGTATCAGATGCACGTTTTATAAATTCTTCTTCGGTAGTTATTGAGATTACATTCTCCCCCAACGATGATATTGGAATTGTAGTATAGCTAAGTACACATAATAATAAGAATAACGATAATGCTATTAGTCATTATACTTTTATTTACTGTCTATATTAAGTTAATGTTATAAGACATTTATTTCTTAATCCACTTATGATCAGATGACAAAAAAAATTTTGTTTGGAGTTTAACAGTGGTTAGAGACCTAATTTTTTTAAAATATAAGTTACCTATATTTATCGATTATAATTGTAGGGCTTTATGAAACTCGCTTATTTAAGAGTTATAGAGCACGATTTTGTTTTAACAAAAAACATAATAATTGAAATAGGGTATTTTTAAATAAATCTATAAATGACATTTCCTGTTTACGAAGAAATACCAATAATTTAATTATATTTCACTTTTTCGATTAGGTAAAAGATTCCTTTAAATAAATTGGCAAGGTATGATACAGAAGGTTATTTTTATTTTTTTGAAGTAAAAATTAGCTGTCCCAAGATTTTGATATTAGTAAAACCAATACATCAATTGCTATGCTCGGAATATAAAATGAAATAAACGGCATTGTAAAATGAATATCTCCCTCGCTATGAACAGATTTTAACATTTCATTTATATTTCATACATTGTAATGTATGCATATTTTTAAGCTACATATTCTATAAACATACTGTTCATCGTCTGATTTATCCTTGTCAATGTCAGGCACATCCCTTGTTCCTTCACGATCAGCATTAAATCTATATTTTTTTGTCCCAAACAATATACTGTTAAACTTAACATTGATTGTATAGAATGCCACAACCCGCTTAAATGAACAACTTACTAATTGTTAAAAAATATAAATAGTTATGTTAAATAGCTTCATATATAGATAGTGAAAATACAAAAATTACCAGTAGGAAAATGATTTTACAATCTATTGTATTGAAATACTTTATGTATATAGGAAAAGTAAAAAATGTCTGATTGAAAGTACTGATTTTTTAATTTAACAAACCAATAATATTGCCGTTTAAATTATCGAATAAGTTGCAATAAACGTTCCAAAGTAAGACAAAGTCATCTCAGATACTAAGGAATGGTAAGGTATATTGAAAGAGAACCATATCGTAGGAAAAATTAACTTGAACAAAGTTCGGTAATACGTGTTTTCAAATACATCCTTATTACGTTTTTCGCAAACATTATATTTTAAAACGCTTAAAATCCTACAAACATAATATTATTTATTCAAAATAACTAGCACATTAAAACAAAAAAAAAAAAAAATAATCGAAAATGTAAAATACCTATGTATAAATCAGAAATCATTTTGATGTTCAAAACTTTTATGTATAGAAAAGGTCAATATCTGTATTCTGTAAAAACTGATTAAGTTTATGATTTCTGTAAAGTTTCGCGTTTTTCTCATTTTTTTCGGTTTTACCCAAATAATTATAAAAATTACACCGAAAATCAAACACTATCTTTTGCACATTTGACACTTTTTTTTTGGTAAAAGATTTCTTGTAGAATAGTTATTCATAGACAAAAACAAATCATAGTAGAACCAATTAACATAACGCTTAACAATTAGGTTCTGACTATTGCAAGGAATATTTTAGTTTATTTTGATGTCTGTTCGATTGTTTGCCTATCTATTATTTATCGAAATTTTACCGAAAGTTGGACGTTATATTTTGATTATAATCATATTACCATATTATGATTATCACC